CAGAAATGCGTGGAAGAGTACATCAGCAACCAAAGCATCACAGTCACGACACTCTGCTCTGCCTACATGCCGCTCATAAATTAATCTCCGCATTTTCCATCTCCAAATCTGATTTTCGTGGCCGGCGACATCTCTCCCCCACCGATGCGGCATTGTGCCTATAAATTATAATGTGCAGCTGTGATTGAAAGGGGAAGATGAAAAATCGTACGTAAACGGGGGCCGGATTGGTGAAGCCTACGCGAGTCTTCTTCTCGTGAAGATTCTCCGACATGCTACCCTTCTTCTTGCTCGACATTGTGAGTGGCTGGACGATAATCGGTACAGGCAGTGAATGAGCCCCCTTGCTGGATCGCACAGCTGTGGATGTAGAATCAATCTGAACGGAGACAAAGGCAGCGCCAGAGAAAAGCTTATTTCTTTCCGACTTATTTCGCATATCGTTACGGCTCAATCCCCCAATAGCGACCCTGGAACGCAGGAAAGGGGGTGTAGCTCACATGGTAGAGCGAATGCTTTGCATGCATTAGGTAGCGGGATCGATACCCGTCACCTCCAGACCTTCTTTTGGCCTCTCCACCAGCTGCTAGAGATGAAAAGGACGCTGCACGTCGCTCGAACTTCTGTTTTGCCTATCAGCTCGCGGGGGGCTTCGTGCGGGGCGAAGATGTTGGCCACGCGAGCCACAGCCCCCGCCGAGAAGAAACCGCGGGCGAAGAGGACTTCAGCATCGCTGCCCAAGCAAGCTGCGGGGCACCACCAGGTTGTGTCCACTGCACTGGCGCCTGCGGCTATCGGCCCGTACTCGCAAGCGGTCGTTGCCACCGGTCCCTTCCTCTTCGTCAGCGGCTGCATCGGCCTTCACCCCCAGGTCCGCCCGCTGCACTGCCAAAATTAATTGCGTTGGCTCAGCGTGTGGAGCGGGGCAGACGATGGACTTCACGGGCGCCGACGTGAGCACCCAGACCGAGCAAGTGATGCAGAACATGGGTGCCATCTTGGAGGCCGGCGGATCGTCCTTCGCCGAGGTGGTTAAGTGCACCATCCTCCTCACCGACATGCAGCACTTCGCCACCGTCAACGACATCTACGCCAAGTGTACTCTCAGCCTCGCCCTCCACTCACTCGCTAGGCCTGATAAGAGCAGCAAGCCCCTGACCTGCGATGGTGCACAGACTTCCCGAGAGACCCACCGGCTCGGGCCACGTTTGCGACCAACGGTCTCCCCAAGGGCGCGCTGGTGGAGATTGAGTGTATCGCCTCACTCGCACAGAAGACGACGAGAACCAGGAAGGCCGGCACCACGTCGGGTACGGCCTCGCATTCGATTGATTGGTTGTTGCCCACGCACGTTCTTACCCTTCGCCTAACGATAATGGCATGTTACGCCACACACAGGAAGAGGCAAGGCGAAGCAGGAGCCGTAAAGACAAGACGTAGCACGTGGTGATGTATCGTGTGAAAAACGCCAACCTGTGGTCACCTTGCGCACATAGTTAGAGGGAAATGGGCGATGACGTTGCTTGACCGGCCTTTGCTTTAGTTTGGACCCTTCTTCCTGCCCCACAGGTTGGCGTTGGTCAGCCGTCGCTTGGACTCGGTAAGATACCACAGTATGTCCTCATATCCTGCGGGCGCAGAGAACACACGATTAGCTGTGACGATCCAGCGTAGAGTTGAAGAAAAAGACAGAGGCCGGCGTACCACGCCACTCGCTCTGGATCACGGCAGCCACGACGAGGGCGATGAGAAGCACGACCACGGCCGAGACGACGACGGCCTTGAGCCACCACCCGTAGCCGCTGCCCTCGTTCTGGTCCTCGCCCTCGCGCCACTTGGCGCTGGTCCGCTTGATCGCGGGTGCACCGCCCTTCTTGGCGCGGCCGCCGGCGCTTCTCTTCTCCTCCTCCTCGCGCTCCTTTCGCTTGCGCTGCTCCTCCTGCTTGGCCCGCTCCTCCTCGCGTCGTTCGGCCTCGCGTTTCTTGAATTCCTCGCATTCCGGAGTGCACGCCAGCAGGGCGTTCTCGTTGCGCGACTTGGCCTTGCCGCGGGCTACCTCCGCCTCGATCTCCTTGCGCAGCCGGAGGGTGCCCCGCTTCTCCTTCTCGCGCTGGACGTCCTCGCAGACCCACTCCTCCGACTTGTTGCCGCACCCGCAGCGCACCTTCACCTTCTTGCTGCACTTGCGCGAATCCGGACAGGCGCCTGGAGCCATTCGCGCGTCATTACAGAGTATGCGATGGCCACACACGACACACACACGACACACACACGACACACACGACACAAGGACGCCGTAAAAGGGAAGTACCTTCGTGGCAGGTGGCCGAGCACAAGTGCTCGCAGTAGAGCAGGGGCGAGAGGCACTGGTGCCCGCACGAAAGGAGCGAGGACATGAGTTTGGCGTCGTGCGTGTGGAAGCAGGAGACGTAGATGGGCATCTTCTTGCAGTGACACTTCCTCTTGAGACGCACGTCGCAAGGACTGCAATAGCCTGCAACATGATTATAATACAGCGCAACAGCAAAGCCGTGAGTGTTTGTGGCGGGCTCATATGCGCATGCGTGTGTGGCACGATAACGTACCAGGGTGGCAAGGCTGAGGGCAGGGATGGGCGCAGTGCGGGTCGCGAGGCTTGACGCACATCTCTCGGCAGGGGGCGCACGCATCCTTGCGGCTGTACAGGCGGCGACGGGCCACAGGTCAAGTTAAACGAAGGAAGCCTGAAAACAATGGTTGCGCGTGAAGGCAACGACAAACCTTTCGTCGGCAGCTTCGAGCTTGACTTCGACCACGACGCCGCGGTCGTCTTCGATGTGCCTTCGGCTGCGGGTGATGACGTGGCAGCCCTGCTCGCACTTGTGGTTGCCGCATTCAAGCGGATTGTCGCACGGGTCGCCGCAGGGGAACTCCCGCTCCGTGTGGCAGGCCACAGCTCTAACCTACACACATGCACAAAGGGTCAGCACTGGGTGAGGATCGGTGGGTGTCAGAAGTCAGCGCCAACTTTACCTGGTGCTCGCCCAGGCACAGGCGCTGGACCACGACATCGCATGGAGGGCAGGTCACGCTGCCGATGTCGATCGCGGGCAGCGGTGGCGGCCGATAGTCGCGTTGCTTGGTCTGCTTCTTGGTCAACACCACCGGCGGCGGAATGGGGTCGTGGCACGGCCTTTTTTCGTTCATTTGTTCACACAATCAGAAGCTGAGGCGAAGAAGGGTTGGAAGTGGCGGATGGCGTACAGAGGGCAGGGGTGATCGCAGCCTGGGTGAATGACGCCACAGGTCATGGTGCACGGAGGACAGGGCCCAAAGTGACACCGGTGCGGCTGCAGCCATCGTGTAAGGGTCACTGTCAGAATAAAGGCCAAATGAGCGAGAAAAGAGATGGCGGTGTACCGCTCGTTTGGGGTGGTGACAAGTGGGCGGGATCTTGCAGGCCTTCCGACAGCGGGGCGGTTCGGTCTTCTTCTCCACGCCACAAGGAACTCTGTGGCGATAAAATTGAATTAAATTCAGTTTCTCCGTGAATGGAGGATAACGGCCACTTGGATTGGCCATTGCATCGAGAGGGGGCGATCAGTATACCTAATGACGGTGGCGAGACAGTAGCAGGCAATGTCGACCATGATGGGACAAGGGAGGCAGTTTCCCGGATGGCATGCTGTCTCGCATCTGTGGTTTCTGCAGCGCAGCTTGTTGTTGCAGATCTGCAGCCCCTTGGTTAGCAACCACCCAGCCGCTTGCCAACCATAGGCGTGGAACGACGGAAACGTGATGTGGGAGGGGGATAGGCACCTCAGGGCAAGGAGGACAGTTCTTGAGGCAACAGCGTTTCTTGCACGGATGCTTCTCGCAGTTGCGCATCCGCGAGCAGCGTCTGTACGCAGCGTGGCGCGGTGCGTTACTATAATGCGGCCCTGCCTTAATTGGGGGGATGTGGGCGCACCTGTCGCAAATGTACTCCAGGTGGCACTGCATCTGCTTCCGGGATCCACCGCACTTGCAGGTTTTGTTCTTCACTTGCGCGGCGATGCAGTGAGTACAGAACTACTGGTAGACACAGCGGTATCGACGATCAAGCACGCAGACGTACCACGATGAGTCGGCACGGCGGACACTCGCCCTCATGGCACCTCTCCACGCACCGATGCTTGCCGCATGTAAGGGTCTGCAAGTGGCAAATTTTGGAAACGTGAGCGTGCAGCAGTAAAATCAAAGCTGAATGCAGCTCTGTTGTTACCTTTTCGCAGGTGTCGCCGCAGGATGGAACCCTCGCCGTACAGGGCAAGCTGGACGCTTGCTTTCCGCACTGTGGGTGCATAACAGCAAGTCACGATGAGCTCCATGCGCACAGAATCAGCGATCACGGTCAGATGATCGGCGCTGAGTGGTACCGGACAGGTTCGCGTGCCGGACTGGGGACACGGCCCGCATGCGCCAGCGTGGCAAACCTTCTCGCACTTGTGGTAGCCGCATGAATGTCCCTTGCCACATTTCTGCGTACAGTGAAAGTCTACCTGAGCGCACGGTCGCTCTTCCTCCAGTCTGGTAGCCCGAAGCCGGTGGAGTTAGCAACTCGCACACGCACAACTGAATCACCAGCGGTTTGTTGACCACGCACCTTCCACACATGCAGACGCGAACACTCATCTTTTCGCATGGCGGGCACGGACCCTTGTGGCACACGCGCGGGCAACTGTGCTTGCGACAGCCCAGCATGGCATCGCACACCTGCACACGAGTGAGCAGAATACATCAGTGAATTGAAGGAAGAAGCGCATGGTGGATCTCGCGCGCGTCGTAAAGAAAGTTAACTACCTCGCCGCAAGACCACTCCCTGTTGTCGCATCGGCGCGTTTGCTCATCTTGGCCACAGTAGCAATCCGATTTTACCATTTGCGGGCACGGCGGGCAGGGACCTGGGGTGGGGGGTCAAGCCGTGGGGAAGAGAATAAGCTCCACTCTGTGCGTTTGCTGAATAACAAGGGAAGGAGCGTACCAGGATGGCAGAGAAGCAAGCACTTGTGCTCACAACCCCTCAGCGATTTTTGACAGGTTTGGCCGCACTGTTGGTTGGTTGGTAAAGAAACAGACCAGCAAGCGCGTTAGTGGTGAATCACTCCTAGAAACGATTGCGAGGACGTACAGAATGGGGAGCCAGCCAGGGATCATTAGGAGGATTCGGCACTTTCTTGCTGTAGCACAGCAAGGCGGGTGGAATCAGCAGGCGCCGATGGAATACAAAGAGGAGGGGCAGCATAGGACGATAGGTACCAAAAGCACAGGTATTTGTTGGGTGTCTCGGGAATGGTATACGGCCGCCGACAGTTTGGGCTGAAGAAGAGAGAAGAGCGGGCCAAGTGTCAACAACAACAGTCGCAGGTAAACGAAAATGGATCATCAGCCCAGGGAGTAGTACCATGGCCACGAAGGCGTGCTGGGTGTGTCGCTGGAGGACGATTCGCTGCTGCTGCTGGTCGCACCTCGCTGTGCCTCCGACCGAGCCCACTTCTGCAAACAGATCAAGTGAAAGGATCGGTAGCAACCTTCGCCCGCGTCTTGTTCACACTGCCACACAGCATCTTGGATCTTAATCTGTTGCATGCACGTTACTAGATTAGCACAGGAAGCGAAGCCCACTGGAGAGTAGCGGCACACGCTCACCTTCTCAAAGCAGATCATGCACACACTGTGCACGCTTTCTCGAATCTTCTCGAACGTCCTGTCCAGCTTGCCCTGGTCGCCTGGAGAGGGTGAATGCGTCAACACGGCGCATGTGGGGAAACAACAGGAGGCCACACGCACCTGAGTACTTGCCCAGCGTGGCCTTGAGCAGCGCATCGATCTGCTGGCTGTCGCCTTCCGTCATCTCGTCGTCATCGTCACTTGTGCCACATCAAGGTCAGAACTGCATCCCAATAAAGTGGAGAGGGCGCGGGTTAGTGTAGAGGCTGTACCTGAACTCCAACTCGTCTGTCTCCTTCATGATGCTCTCGACAGAGGCCTTGAGGTTGCGTTGGTAGGTGGCCAGCACCTCCTGCTGCCGCACCATCGCCTGCGCCATCTGCTCTTTCTTCTCCTCCCGCTTCTGTTTCTTGCCTTTTGCTGCTTCCTTCCCCTTGTCCTCTTCGGCCGGCTTCTCCCTGTGGTCGTGCCCATGTGCATGTGGTGGGTGAAGGTGACCTGCAGAGTTAGTCACTGCCAGCTTCGAGCGACGTTCAGCCAGGCCCTTCTGCTCGCTACGCGATTTTCCATCATCAGCCGATTTTTTCGAAGGTGCAGATTTCGAAGAAGAGGAAGAGGAAGATGAGGCAGCGACAGGTTTGGAAGGAGCAGGGGTGGGCTTGGGTGCGGATTTCATGCTGCCGACGACGCCGGAATAGGGATCGGCTTCTTGCTGCCGTTCCACCGCCTTGCGCGCCCACACGTTCTCACGCGGGCCAGCCTTCATCTTCCCCTCTTCGTGGTTCAACTGGCACGCAACGCAGATGCACCACAGAATCCACGACAGAGTACAGAGGAGTAGCGCTGTGCTGACGTCACCGGACCACAGTCAACAACCACAGGAAATTAGAAGAGAAAAAGTTGGTGCGTTTGGAGTTTATATTTTTAGTGTTAAGGTCAAGGTCTCAACGTGAATGCTTTAGGCCCTGGTGATGTCGCGGCCGAAGATCCAGGTCTTGAGCCAGTTGACGCCCACGTAGAGCTTGTTTCGGAGGCTGTACTGCTTGCTGAGGTAGACCGAGCGCCACAGCCACCACGCACCAAAGCCCTCCAGCACCAGCCCCTCTGTTCATTAGGCTCACGGGTTAGTGTGAAGCCAGCGAGAGAGAGCAAGTGTAACCAAAGAGGCGAACGAACCTGCAAACTCGGCAACAGCGTGCTCTGAGCCAATGAAACAGAACGATCCGAGGTGCTTGTAGTGGAAACCCGTGTCCAACTCGACGCTCTTGTTGGCGACTCTGTTCAGCAGCTTGCCCAAGTACTGAGAAACAGAGAGAAACGAATTAGACCAACACGTGTTCACAGTTCATGACGGACTCAGTAGTGGTAGGCTTTACCTGGCCCTCCTGGCTGGCGACCTGAGCGGTGGCAGGAAGCTG